GATGAAATGGGTATAGTTGTGGAGTTGTGGTCCATGAATGTGACAGAAATTTTTTTGTTTTTTCGTGGTTTTTATTTATTGATTGGAGCACATGATACTGTCATGTTAGGATAGAAAAAGCCTTTTTAAAATTATGGATACTGATCAGCTTTCTGTAAATTTGCCTTTTTAATCTATTCTTAAATCATATCTTTGTTTCTCAGATATTTTTGTTTATTCTTTAACTGTATGTATGTGCGTGTCATTATTATTACGATCACATGTAGTGTCTCTCAATGGCAAATTTCAATTTTTTTAGTTATGTGTATGACAAAAACAAAAACCATAAATATCCATTGTTTTTAAAAAATTTTACGGTGTTTAGGATTTGTGCATTTAGATATTTTTGTATGGACTAACAACGTTCTTTCTTGTGTTGTGATTATTGCAGCTTGACATAAGAGGAGATCCATTTGGGTATCTAGCTGCGCATCCATTGGCACCACTTGTATCGTTGCATCACCTTGTTTACTTAGACCCAATGTTCCCTAACCAAAACCCGATAGAGTCGTTACAAACCCTTATGAAACCTTATACTTTAGACCCGTATCGAATACTCCAACAGGTTAATTGCCATGACCAAAAGCGTCAATGGTCCATATCCATCTCTTGGGGATACTCAATTCAGATTTACACTTACTTCTTGAGTGCTACAGAGCTGAATACGCCTTTGCAGACCTTCAAAACTTGGCGGTCTTCGAGTGATGGACCTTTCACGTTTAACACCCGTCCCTTGAAACCTGACCCGTGTGAGCGTCCCGTCACTTATTTCATGGATGGTGCAGAGGATGTGAGGGATAGTGGGACGAAAACTTGGTATAGCATAGCGGATAAGAAGTATGGTCATTGCGAAAAGAGTGAGCATTCTCGGGTAACTAAAGTGAAGAGGATTTTGGTGACTTCAATGAAGATGGATTCTGAGTATTGGAACAAGGTTAGTATTTTTTATTTTTAACTTCATTTTGAATCAACATTTTGTGTGAGTTTCGGATTTGAAGTTGTCTTCTTTACATTTCTGTTGTTTTTTTTTTGTTGACAGGCACCGAGGAGACAGTGTTGCGAGGTGATGGAAGGAGGAAAGAAGAAAGAAATGTTGATAAGGATTAGAAAGTGCAGTTCTTTGGAGAAGATATAATATGAATTAGAGAGATATATTTGCACATACAAAAACATTAGATTCGATTATAGTTGGTTTCTAAATTCCTAGTACCGCGAAATGACGATTTTCTCTATCGGTACCGGAGACTTTTTTGAGTATACCAACATGTAAGCGTTGTTCTGTATTCTTAGTCGAAATAATATGTATACCTTTGCGAACGATTGGTGAAGCAACTATAACATCTACCTTCGAATAGGCTACTACAATCTTGGTCTAGGCCACAACCGAAATGGATCATACGCAATTATCATGGAAGTTTTGTAGTTAACAGGAATCAAAATACTAACATGGATCAAATGTGAGACTTTTACACTGAACGCTTTTTTTTTGTCAACTCATTGAACGTTTTTTTTTGTTTTGGTCAACGAATTTAACGCTTTCCCAACACCTAATATTTACATATTTTAAAACAGATTACTATATAACTATTTTGCAAGTTAAATAGCATAAAATTGTCACGTATGTAATATTTCGTTGTTAAGAACATTTTTTTTGTTTAGTTGCCGATTTGTTTCAAACCAAACCTCAGCTAACATAGTTAAACGGATAAAACATTGCACAATGGAAAAGGGCTTTGTGAACACGCAAGTTTACGTCAAATTAGAATATTATAGAGTCGTAGGAATTGTGTAAATGTTAATTATTACAACTATATCTAAAGCTTTGTTATAGAAAAATACTATTACAACATATATACGATTTGTTATGTTTCTGTACGTCCTTATAGTTCCAAGCTTTATGTACATCTGTAATTTTTTTGGGTCAGGTAGGCAACCAAACCGGACCATCTAAATTGAAATGAAATTAGGTTCCACTTTGGCAAATTTTCTCACAAACGAAA